CCCCCGGGAACCGAGAGGGACCCCCGGGGACGGGGCTGGGACCCCGGGACCGAGAGGGACCCCCCGGGAACCGGGCTGGGACCCCCGAGGTCCCCGGGACACCGAGAGGGACCCCGGGAACAGACCGGGATCCCGGGAACCAGGCCGGGACCCCCGGGACCGAGAGGGACCCCCCGGAACGGGGCTGGGACCCCGGGACCGAGAGGGACCCCCGGGAACCGGGCCGGGACCCCCGGGAGCGAGAGGGACCCCGGGAACGGGGCCGAGAGTCCCGGGACCGAGAGGGACCTCGGGAACCGACCGGGACCCCCGGGACCGAGAGGGACCCCCGGGAACCGGGCTGGGACCCTCGGGACACCGAGAGGGACCCCGGGAACCGAGAGGGACCCCGGGAACCGACAGGGACCCCCGGGACCGAGAGGGACCCCGGGAACCGGGCTGGGACCCCGGAGACCGAGACGGACCGCCGGGACCCCGAACGGGGCGGGGAGATCGCCGGGAGTCCAAACGGGACCCCCAGAAACGGGGCCGGGACCCCCGGGACACCGAGAGGGACCCCGGGACCGAGAGGGATGGGGAAATCCCGGAGACACCGAGAGGGACCCCCGGGAACGAGGCCGGGAGCCCCGGGACCCCCGGGAGACCGAGAGGGACCCCCGGGACCCCGAACGGGGCGGGGAGACCCCGGGAGTCCAAACGGGACCCCCGGAACGGGGCCGGGACCCCCGGGACCCCGGGACACCGAGAGGGACCCCGGGAACGGGGCCGGGACCCCCGGGACCCCGAAAGGGGCGGAGAGACCCCAGAGAACGAGCGGGACCCCCGCGAGACCGAACGGGACCCCCGGGAACCGGGCCGGGACCCCCGGAACCCCCGGGACTCCGAGAGGGACCCCCGTGGCGGGGAGACCCCCGAGAGTCGAAATGGGACCCCCGGAACGGGGCTGAGACCCCCGAGAGCTAAGAGGGACCCCCGAGACCCCCGAGAGACCGAACGGGACCCCCGGAACGGGGCTGGGACCCCCGGGACCCCTGGAACGGGAACGGGACCCCCGGGAACCGGCAACCAGGCTGGGACCCCCGGAACGGGGCTGGGACCCCCGAGAACTGACCGGGACCCCCGGAACAGGACAGGGACCCCCGGGAACCGGGCTGGGACCCCCGGAACCAGGCTGGGACCCTCGGGACGGGACAGGGACCCCCGGGACACCGGAAACCGGGAGGGGAAACCCCGAGAACCAACCGGGACTCCCGGGAACGGGAGAGGGACCCCCGAGAGCCCGAGCGGGACCCCCGGGACACTGGAAACCGGGCGGGGACCTCCGAGAACCGACAGGGACCCCCGGGAAGGGGACAGGGACCCCCGGGACCCCCGAGAGCCCGAGCGGGACCCCCGCAACGGGGCTGGGACCCCCGGAATGGGGCTGGGACCCCCGAGAGCCGAGTGGGACTCCCGGTACACCGGGAACGGGGCTGGGACCCTCGGGACCCCCGGGAACGGGAGAGGGACACCGGGACACCGGGACCGAGACCCCCGGGACCCCCGGAACGGGACCCCCGGGGACAGGGACACCGGGACCCCCGGGACCTGCCGGGACCGGGGCCACCGGAGGGGGCGGGGCCGCGGCACCGGACGGACGGACGGACGGACGGATGAGCCCGGGGCGTGGGAACCGCCGCCCCCCGCCGCTCCCGCCGTGACTCAGCGCCGGTCGCCGCCGCTGCCGTCAGCCCCCGCTGCCGCCGAGGCACCGGGACCCTCGGGACCCCCCGAACCGGGACCCCCGGGGAGCGCGGGCGAGCGGGGGCGGGGACCGGCACCGCCCCCAGCCCCGCTGCGCCACCCACGGGACCCCCGGAGCTCCGGAGCCCGCTCCCGGTGACACCGGGTGGGCGGGGGTCGCTCTGCCCCGGTCCCCGGGACCCCCGGGGGTCGCTCTGCCCCGTCCGGTGACACACCAGGTGGGCGGGGGTCGCTCTGCCCCGGTCCCGGGACTCCCCGGTTTGGGGAGGAGTGGGCGGGGGTCCGGTACCGGTCGCCCCATTACGGGGCCAGCTCCAGCACCGGGGGGGGGGGGGGGTCCCCGGTGTGAGGAGGGGTCCCGGGGGTCCCGGGGGTCTCCCGGGGGTTCCTCGGGGGGTCCCGGTGATGGAAGCGGGGACATCACCGGGGGATCCCGGACAGAAATCCCGGCAGCTCACCGGGAGCTCACCGGGAGCTCAGCGGGCGGGGGGTCCCGGGGACCCCCGGTGTGAGGAGGGGGCCCGGGGGGGGTCTCCCGGGGGGGTCTCCCGGGGGCGTTCCCGGTGTCCCGGTGCCGCTTCGGGCCCTTTCTAGAACGGCGGCCGCTCCCGTTTCTATTAATACGCGCCCGGGCGGCGGCGGCGGCGGCGGCGGCGGCGGCGGCGGAGGGAATCCCTGTGACGTCATTGCTAGGATACCAAACAAACACTCCAGACAAGCCCATATATGGCTAATTGCGTCACAGGAACTCCGGGGGGGCGTGGCCCGGGGGGATCCCCCCCGTTCTCGCCTCCTCCCGGCTCCTCTTAACGGCGGCGGCGGCTCCGGGAGCCTCAAACGGCGACACCGAGCGCGGCCGCGGCGGCTCCGAGCTCCGCCACACCTCGGGGGGCTCCCGGGGGTCCCGGGGCAGCAGCGGCGGCTGCCGTGACGTCAGCGCAGGGGGGCGTGGCCCCGCCGTATAAAGCGGCGGGGCCACCGCGAGCCGTTCATTCATAAAACCGGACACCGGGCGAGCGGCGGCGGCGGAGCTACCGGAGCTCGGAGAGGGATTTACCGGAGCTTCGGGGGGGGAACGCGGCTCGGATTTACCGGAGAAGCGGGGATTGGTAGCGGAGAAGTTTGGAGCGGCGGCACGGGACTCGGTACCGATCAACCGGAGCCTGGAACGGACGCACCGGGAGGGGTTTAAGGGCTCTCAGCGCGCCTTCGGAACCGGAGAACCGGAGCACGGCACGGATGCACCGGAGCTCGGCGAGCACAACCGGAGCGCGGTAGCGGAGAAGCGAACCGCACCGGAGCCCGGCACGGATACACCGGACCCGCCGAGCGCTCACCGGGACCTTACCGGAACGCGGCGCCGCCACACCGGCGGCTCCCACACCTCACCGCCGCTCCCACCGACCAACCGGAGCCCCACCGCGCCTTACCGGAGCCCCACACCGAGCGGCGGAGCCCAGCCCCGAGCCCCCCGCCATGCCGGTGGCGGCGGCGTGACCCCGCAGCCTTGTGGCGGCGGCGGCGGCGGGGCGGCCCCCGCGGCCCCGGGGCCATGTTCCAGGGTTTCCCCGGGGATTACGACTCGGGCTCCCGGTGCAGCTCGTCGCCCTCGGCCGAGTCGCAGTACCTGTCGCCGCTCGACTCCTTCGGGAGCCCCGGGGCCGCCGCCGGGGCCGCTCAGGTGAGAGCGGGGGGGGCGCGGGGACCCGGTGGAACCGGCTGACAGGGACCCCAGGGTGTCACCCGTTGTGACAAGGACCCCGGGTGTCACTAGGGGGTGACACGGAGCCGGGTGTCACCCGTGGGTGACAGGGACAGGAGAGTGTCACCTTTGGGTGACAGGGACCTGAGAGTGTCACCCGTGGGTGACAGGGACAGGAGAGTGTCACCTTTGGGTGACAGGGACCTGAGAGTGTCACCCGTGGGTGACAGGGACAGGAGAGTGTCACCTTTGGGTGACAGGGACCCCGGGTGTCACTAGGGATGACACGGAGCCGGGTGTCACCCGTGGGTGACAGGGACAGGAGAGTGTCACCTTTGGGTGACAGGGACCCTGGGTGTCTCCGCTGGGTGACAGCGACACCAGGGTGTCACTAGGGGGTGACAGGGACACGAGAGTGTCACCGTGGGTGACAGGGAGCCAGGAGGTGACAGGGGCGTCCCCAGGGCTGTCCCTATCGGTGTCACACTTGTGACCCGGGGGAGGTGACAGGGGTGTCCCCATCGGTGTCACCCGTGTCCCCTGACCCGTGTCCCCCCGTGTCCCCAGGAGTGCGGCGCCCTGGGGGACACAGCGCGGTGTCACACTTGTGACCGGGGAGGTGACAGGGGTGTCCCCAGCCGTGTCCCCCCGTGTCCCCAGGAGTGCGGCGGCCTGGGGGACACAGCACGGTGTCACACTCATGACCCGGGGGAGGTGACAGGGGTGTCCCCAGCGGTGTCACCTCTCTGACCCGTGTCCCTGTGTCCCCATCGGTGTCACACTCCTGACCCGGGGGAGGTGACAGGGGTGTCCCCAGCCGTGTCCCTATCGGTGTCACACTCGTGACCCGGGGGAGGTGACAGGGATGTCCCCAGCGGTGTCACCCGTGTCCCCTGACCCGTGTCCCATGTCCCCCCATGTCCCCCCATGTCCCCATCGGTGTCACCCCTCTGACCCGTGTCCCCCCGTGTCCCCAGGAGTGCAGTGCCCTGGGGGACACAGCGTGGTGTCACCGGGGGAGGTGACAGGGGTGTCCCCATTGGTGTCACCCGTGTCCCCTGACCCGTGTCCCATGTCCCCCCATGTCCCCAGCCGTGTCACCCGTGTCCCCTGACCCGTGTCCCGTGTCCCCAGGAGTGCGGCGGCCTGGGGGACATGCCCGGCTCCTTCGTGCCCACGGTGACGGCCATCACCACCAGCCAGGACCTGCAGTGGCTGGTGCAGCCCACCCTCATCTCCTCGGTGGCGCCGGGGGCGCCCATGGCGCAGCCCCCTCCCCCCGCCCTGGACCCCTACGACCTCCCCGGGCCCAGCTACTCCACCCCCCCCGCCATGGGCGGGGGCTTCGCGGGACCCCCGGCGGCGACCCCCGGCAGAGCCCCCCGGGCACGGCCCCGGCGCGGCCGGGAGGAGACGGTGAGAGGGGACACGGGGGGGACATGGGGACAGAGGGGGGACAGGGGGACAGAGGGGGGGAAGGCAGCAAGATCGGAAAGGACAGTGGGGATGAGGGGACAGAGGGGACAGTGGGGGACAGGGGGGGCACAGAGGGGATGAAAGGATGAGGGGACAGGGGGACAAAGGGACAGAGGGGATAGAAGGGACAGGGGGACAAAGGGGGACAGGGGACAGAGGGGACGGAGCAGGCAGAGGGCACAAAGGGGCAGAGGGGAGAGAGGAGATAGAGGGGACACAGAGGGGACAGATGGACAGGGGGACACAGAGGGGACAGATGGACAGGGGGGATAGAGGGGATGAGAGGACAGAGGGACAGAGGGGACAGAGGGTGGTGGCACTTTGGGGACATGGCAGGGGGAGTTTAGGGGGCGTGGAAGTGGCAGGAGATTGAGGGCCACCCCGAGCGGTGGCACCTTGGGGACACCACGAGTGACAGGAGCCTCAGGGCCACCCCAGGCGGTGGCACCTTGGGGACACATTGAGTGGTGACATTTTGAGGGCCACCCCGCGCGGTGGCACCTTGGGGACACCATAAGTGGTGACATTTTGAGGGCCACCCCGCGCGGTGGCACCTTGGGGACACCATAAGTGGTGACATTTTGAGGGCCACCCCGCGCGGTGGCACCTTGGGGACACCACGAGTGACAGAAGCCTCAGGGCCACCCCAAGCGGTGGCACCTTGGGGACACCACGAGTGACAGGAGCCTCAGGGCCACCCCAGGCGGTGGCACCTTGGGGACACCACTCTCGGTGACCTCACCGGCAGCGCGGTGGCATTTGGGGACGCAGGCAGCGGGGTTTGGGGGCCGGGGGCTGTCGGGGGGTGGCAGGCGGTGGCAGCGGGTGACGCGGGTGTCCCTTGTCCCCGCAGCTGACGCCCGAGGAAGAGGAGAAGCGCCGCGTGCGGCGGGAGCGGAACAAGCTGGCGGCGGCCAAATGTCGCAACCGGCGGCGCGAGCTGACGGACCGGCTGCAGGCGGTGAGTGACACCGCGACACCGGCGGTGGCACCGTCCCCGGGGGTGGCACCGTCCCCGGGGGTGGGACCGTCCCCAGGGGTGGCATTGTCCCCAGGGGTGGCATTGTCCCCAGACGGTGGCATTGTCCCCGAGGGGTCGGACCGTCCCCAGGGGTGGCATTGTCCCCCGGGGTGGCATCGTCCCCAGGGATGGCATCGTCCCCCGGGGTGGCATTGTCCCCCAGGGATGGCATCGTCCCCGGGGGTGGCACCGTCCCCGGGGGTGGCATTGTCCCCTGGCGGTGGCGTTGTCCCCCGGGGTGGCATCGTCCCCAGGGGCGGCATCGTCCCCAGGGGCGGCATTGTCCCCAGGGGCGGCATTGTCCCCCCGCTGTGGCATTGTCCCCAGGGGTGGCATTGTCCCCAGGGGCGGCATCGTCCCCCAGGGGTGGCATTGTCCCCAGGGGTGGCATTGTCCCCAGGGGTGGCATTGTCCCCAGAGGTCGCATTGTCCCCCCGGGATGGCATTGTCCCCCAGGGATGGCATTGTCCCCAGGGATGGCATCGTCCCCAGGGATGGCATTGTCCCCAGGGATGGCATCGTCCCCAGGGGTGGCATTGTCCCCCCGCGGTGGCATTGTCCCCAAGGACCGCGGGACGAGGGGGGAGCAAGCGGAGGTGGCAGCGGAGGGAGATGGGGACAGCGGTGTCCCCAGTGATGGTGGCAGTGTCCTGGGGGTTGGGGACATTGGCAGAGAGGGATGGCATTGTCCCCCAGGGGTGGCATCGGCCCCCGGTGGTGGCATTGTCCCCGGGGGTGGCATTGTCCCCCCGGGGGGGCATTGTCCCCTAGAGGATGGCATTGTCCCCCAGGGGTGGCATCGGCCCCCGGTGGTGGCATTGTCCCCGGGGGTGGCATTGTCCCCCCGGGGGGGCATTGTCCCCTAGAGGATGGCATTGTCCCCCAGGGGTGGCATCGGCCCCCGGTGGTGGCATTGTCCCCGGGGGTGGCATTGTCCCCC